ATTTCGAAATTTTTCATTTTTTATGCTTAGTTTTAAGTGTTCTCAAAGATGTTTGATTGGATTTAGATCCAGACTTTGCGATGGCCACTCAAGAACGTTCACACTATTAGCATTGATCTAATGTTTCACGGCATGAGAAGCATGCTTCAGGTTATTATCATGTTGAAATATTCAATCTTCGTCTATGATTTCAGTTGCATGAGATAACATTTCTGTCTCTAATATTTCTATATACTGCTCCTTCTTCATATACCTTTAATTTGTCGCAAAGGACCAACACCATGACTGGAGAAGCATCCCTAAACCATAATGTTCTGCCACCATGTTTTACTGTTGAAATTTAATAACGCACGTTGAATCTTTTACATATTGGTTGACCTACCCATTGAATTCCATCAGATTCAAATAATTTAAATTTGCTTTCATCGCTGAAAAGCAAATTTGACCAGTCTTTTATTGACCAATGAAGGTGTTCTTTAGCAAATTTAAGCCAGGTCATCCTGTTCTTTTTTTAAATCAATGGTTTCTTCACTCCTTGTCGTCCATGTAATCCGATAGACACTAGACAACGTTGTACTGTACATACACTAATGTCCAACTTGTCAGTTTCGATTAAGCTTTTATGAATCTCTACTGTAGTTCTCCTGGGGTCAGCAACTGATAGGCGTCATATTTTCCTGTCCTGTCTAATTGAGGTTTCTTTTGGTCGGCCGGACTTGAATTTATCGTCTAAATGTCCTCGTTCTTGAAATCGCTTCTGTATGCAGTACATAGTTTGTTTTGCGATGTCAAAATGACGAGAAACATCAAATATGGATTCACCGTTTTGTAAAGCAGTGAATAAAAAAATTTATAACTCGTTCCTTTAGACATTTCGGTAAGCTTTGTCCTTGTACCATCTTCGTAAGAATAAAACATACATAAATGACATATATAAATGAAACATACATAATTACATACATAAATGAAACATACATAATTACATACATAAATGAAACGTCCGAATACTTTTGTCCTATCTAATTTGAATAAAACCTACCTTATGTGCAGTATAGAGCAAATATCTACGTGTTACTTTCACACGAGTTAGCGTACGACTAACTTCGTACGGCTTCTTCCTAACAATAATATCGCAACATGGGAAAACAAAAACATGTTTGACCGAATAGATATGTCCGGTACTGTATGTGTATATAAATTTTTGAANATTTCGAAATTTTTCATTTTTTATGCTTAGTTTTAAGTGTTCTCAAAGATGTTTGATTGGATTTAGATCCAGACTTTGCGATGGCCACTCAAGAACGTTCACACTATTAGCATTGATCTAATGTTTCACGGCATGAGAAGCATGCTTCAGGTTATTATCATGTTGAAATATTCAATCTTCGTCTATGATTTCAGTTGCATGAGATAACATTTCTGTCTCTAATATTTCTATATACTGCTCCTTCTTCATATACCTTTAATTTGTCGCAAAGGACCAACACCATGACTGGAGAAGCATCCCTAAACCATAATGTTCTGCCACCATGTTTTACTGTTGAAATTTAATAACGCACGTTGAATCTTTTACATATTGGTTGACCTACCCATTGAATTCCATCAGATTCAAATAATTTAAATTTGCTTTCATCGCTGAAAAGCAAATTTGACCAGTCTTTTATTGACCAATGAAGGTGTTCTTTAGCAAATTTAAGCCAGGTCATCCTGTTCTTTTTTTAAATCAATGGTTTCTTCACTCCTTGTCGTCCATGTAATCCGATAGACACTAGACAACGTTGTACTGTACATACACTAATGTCCAACTTGTCAGTTTCGATTAAGCTTTTATGAATCTCTACTGTAGTTCTCCTGGGGTCAGCAACTGATAGGCGTCATATTTTCCTGTCCTGTCTAATTGAGGTTTCTTTTGGTCGGCCGGACTTGAATTTATCGTCTAAATGTCCTCGTTCTTGAAATCGCTTCTGTATGCAGTACATAGTTTGTTTTGCGATGTCAAAATGACGAGAAACATCAAATATGGATTCACCGTTTTGTAAAGCAGTGAATAAAAAAATTTATAACTCGTTCCTTTAGACATTTCGGTAAGCTTTGTCCTTGTACCATCTTCGTAAGAATAAAACATACATAAATGACATATATAAATGAAACATACATAATTACATACATAAATGAAACATACATAATTACATACATAAATGAAACGTCCGAATACTTTTGTCCTATCTAATTTGAATAAAACCTACCTTATGTGCAGTATAGAGCAAATATCTACGTGTTACTTTCACACGAGTTAGCGTACGACTAACTTCGTACGGCTTCTTCCTAACAATAATATCGCAACATGGGAAAACAAAAACATGTTTGACCGAATAGATATGTCCGGTACTGTATGTGTATATAAATTTTTGAAAAAAATTTTTTAAAATTTCATTTGCTGATCGATTGATTTAACGATTTTTTGGCATATACACGATTGAATCTTATCGGTGATCTGTGGTTCACACTATGAATGTTCACACAAACTTTAAATTTCATACTTCACTATATAAATGTATATATAACACAAAAGGAAAAAAAACCAAAAATATTATGTTCATTTAATGTAACCTTAATTTAATAAATGTCTTCCTCGTCACTACGCAGTACAATCAAACGAGAACGTTTTTTCGGTTGAACGATATCACCTTCATTTTCTCAACCTTCTTCATTCAGATTTTCTGCACCTTCTAAACCTCTTTAAAAAAATCTGTAATTTTGGTTTGTTTGTTGGTTCTTACAAAGTCATTGCAAATTTCATGGTATGAATATGCAGCTCTCTTTTGAATTTTCGGCTTTTTTCAGCGGAAGGATATATATTTGTATGTGTACTCTTAAGTATATATTAATATACTCTTATAGTTATATTTTCAAGCAAATGCACTATAGTTCATTGTTCCTTCCCGTCATTATTTTAAGATAATTTAGTTTTTATATATGTTAAACAAAAATCATGTTATCCAGTACTGTGGAAGTAGAGTGTCATGCAAAGATTTTCACAAAAAACGTATTAGAGCGAAACTGTATTGTAGGAGGGCTATCTGTATTCAAAATAAAATAAACAAAAAAAATACAAACCTTGTTGTTATTCAGACTGAGTGTAGTCAATGTTGGCATTCGAGGTAGTGTTTTCAGATCTCGGAGTTTGTTGTTATCCAGTATCAACACCTGTAGCCTTTCGAAGTGTTTGACAGCAGTGATTGAGGTTAGCTCGTTGTAGGAAAGGTCTAAGCTCGTGCAATCGTAACCGACGACTCCTACCAAGCCCTCAGGAATCTTTTCTGCGCGTTGACCCGTGTAACATGCCTAAGATGTTGATAAAAATGCGTGATAAAACATGTTATAAAACGGCCGCCTACGATACAAACATTTCTCATATATTTTAACGAAGCTATACGTCAATTACCCGTTCACATCGCACAGTCAACGCGCTCCTGTTGAAGTCTTGCTGTTTTCGTTCCGCCATTTTCCATACACGTTACCATATAATGAAGAAAATTATCATAAAACAATAAGAATGATAACGCTTTCGATAGGCAATTAAGTCGCCATTACAAAGATATCTCCTGACTAGAAAACTTGAGTATCGTGGCTCGTTGGTCTAGGGGTATGATTCTCGCTTAGGGTGCGAGAGGTCCCGGGTTCAAATCCCGGACGAGCCCAACTTTTTTTATTAATGATAACACACACACACACATTTACAATGTTATCCGCTAATATATACTTTTTTGACAGTTTTCTTAATTTTTCTTGATACAAATAATTATTACGTTTAGCACAGTTCATAGATGATCAAGGACAAAATTAAAAAGGATAAAATGATAAATAAATGAAGTATTTTAGTAAAATGAAGTAAATTAAACTATCATTTTTTGTAAACTATATACATGCATATATATTTTATACTTCAAATTGATAAATATGTAATTTCATACAAATTCATTGTAATTTATGCAAATTGTACGTAATAGAGAATACATACTTTCTGATTTTAGAATATGGTATACGCATTCATTTTTGCATACAATTAAATTCTAATTTTACATTCATTAATCCTCGCATAATTTTACGATATAAAATTCTTTAATCCTTTACTTAACTTTTTAATAGGTTTCTTGTGCATCACATTTATAGTTCTCATTTTAGTGTTATGTACATCTTTCTGACTTGTGCCTCTTGATTTTGTGGACGTTGCAGTTAGAACTCTTCTTAAAATATCTTGTTTAGAACCATTGTTATGCTTGTTTATAGGATTAAGTGAAGTCTGTCCTGTTTGTTCAATCTTATTCCCATTAGTATCACTGTAAAAAACAATAGCACAATTGAATTACAATCACCGTTATAAGCTCCTTGAAAATATGATGTTTTTATTTTAGCACCTTGCAGATTTTGTAACTGCCTCACTCTCTTTCTGCAAATTAAGTTTGTTGTAAAAATTCTCACTTTCTTGAAACACATTTATATAAGTGTTCATACTGGGAACTGGAATAATCATCTTTAATTGTTCTTCTTTAAAAACTTCCGTCTGAATATTTTCTGTAGTGGTAAATGAACTATTAGATTTGACATTACAATGAAGAAAAATAGAAATACTTCTTATGATAAAGAATACTTACTTCTTGTTAATTCAACACCTTCAGCTCTGTATTCAGCAATTTCCTTATCCTTCTTTTTTATTAAATCTAATATAATTTTGTGCCGACGATTTAATTCCATAAATGATATACACAGAGGTTTGGTTATAATTTCCCAAAGCTCTTGCTGTGTTCCTTTTGATAGATTCAAAATAAATTTCATCGACCCTCTGTCTATTTGAATCCGTAATTTTATTTGTTCGACAGAAGCTTCGTCAATATATGTGTGTAAATTATTCAAAATACTTGCCACAATATCTTTATAATTAAGGGCATCAACATTTAGAAGTGGATTTAGATCCTGTGTTGAAAAAAAAGAACAAGATTTTAAGATTATAAAATTGTTACACTAAGTATTTGTAAACAATACCAGATCACTAATTAAAGAATAAATATGCATGCGATTAATTACCTTACATCTTTTTAAAATGACCTCATCTGTCAATATCTCCATCCATATTTCAATAAAATTAGTTAAAAAAACTTCGATTCTATTATTCTTCTCTGTAACAGAAATCATATAAACATTGTCACCTATGTTAACCTCATTCCATTTTCTTTCTTGTGTAAATTGATTAGCAGTCACTTCTTCTGTCATTTTTATTTTCCAAATACTTAATTAATACATAACATAAGTTACAAATGTTGCAAAGATGTAATTAAATCGACGGATTTAATTTAATTACGCAATCATATCATATGAATCATTTCTCATGTGAAATATCTCACATTCTCATGTTCTGTTAGAACAGTTCTGAACGCTCAAAATCAGTGGTTTTCTTGCGCCCTCTACTGAAATAAAACAGTTATAGAGGTACTACTGAATACATACTCGATTCTCACTAAGAAATCAAAATTTTTGAAATATCGGTAACAATGTGTGCGACATGGTAATGGTAATAGGACTTTAGAACTCCAGTGCCATTAATTATTAAAATATTTACACATTTGTGTAAATAAAAACAAAAGTACGCAATTATAAAACGTGATATACTCTCTTCCGAATCAAAACATGACCTCCAGAGAAAAAGAACTACAGCTACATTGGAATCTTACACTACGGATAATTAGAAATCTATTATAAAAGGTTTAAATAATGTTGAGGAATTAAAAAACCTGTGAAAGATTTAAACAATATCTATAAATTAAAATATCCTTCCTAATCGGGCTGTCAAGTTCTTCCAGTCTACATATATAATTTTATCAAAATCCGTGATTTCAAGTGTATACATTATAAATTGTGTTCATGACTTTTATATAATTTTTCATCATTCTACAATTAACATCAAGATCTTCTCGCGTATCTGCTCGAGAATTTTAGTGCCTTATCGCAATGAATATCTCATGGCGACTAGAATTCTTAACCAGATTTCTTTACATCAATTGAAATATTGATCAAAAATAAAAATATTCATTAATTTTGATTACATTTAACTTCATCGCGCAGTATCTTTAATTTCGTGATTACAAAAATTTTGAAGTATTATCTGGAGAACAACTCTCTTTTGCAAGCCGCGGGAATTCGCGTTTAGTCTACTTTCAGCGCTCGTAGGTGTAACATGTCAGTTTTTATCAGCTCCGACTTTAGACGAACGCGAACAGTTTGAAACGTAGCAAACTCAGATATTTTTATACCGTGAACCTACCGCCAGTCTTCCTCGGGAATCCGTCTTTAAGCCCTCGGAAAAAGTTGGCGTTACCAGTCATCCTGAACGTTGAAAGAAGTGTCCAAGCAAAAGGCAGATTGCTTCCTCTTTTTCTCCCGCGCATCGAGATCGAATCTGCATTCGAAAAATCATTTGAAATTCGAAAAGAAATACTTCGAAGTACGTGAGAAAATCACACCATGTGATTCACGAACCAAAAGCGCACTCCTAAAGATCCATTTAGAACTTTCAGTGTACTTTTCGTTCATCCAGTGACGTGAGTTTTATTCACCGAAAAATAAACTATTTAAATATTAAACCAACGAAAAGAATACGATTTCTACGATTTATTTGATGCATCAACGACGGATTGATGCGTTATTGATCGTTGAGTGATTGTTCGGATAGTGAAATTCTATTTAAAAAAAAATAACAAATTTTCTTGTTATATTGGTGAGAAGGAGGAGATACTAGACAGAGTTATTTATGTGATCTATTTTCACACAAGTTGTGTTACCTTAGTAGCCTAAAAATATCTGTGAAATTTGATTAGGCATAGCTTGATGGTTCAGTATTACCTACTCGAATATTTATACCTATTTCAAGTGGAAAAGCTTATTCGAAGCATTTTTATTATTCCTTCCTACTGCTCGAATTGCAAATTGCAACAACAGTACACGTAATACATTTCGTAATATAAATTCGTCAGAATATGTTCCTATTTTATAGATTTTTGAAGAACCATTATGTGAAACGGCGGTAGTTTATTACAAATCTATATGTGTAATTACTAATTTTTTTAAAAACCGGATTGTACCGGAAATTTATTCCTATCATTGAAATTTTTATTGAATTAAAAATAAAATGACAATTTCACTACGCGTTACAGAGGATTTTATTGTTTATTTTTATTTATAAATTCACATGTGCCAGATATGCATACAATTTCTAGCTTACTAATAATAATCATTCATATAATTTAGAACGGAATTAAAATGAAGTGAAATTAGTATACAGTGTATGTGCTTCACAGTCAATAGGATAAATACTATTTATTTCAAATTTAACTACCGGTATTTTAACTACCGTTAATTTACTTCAACTTCTTGTGCGAATGATAAAATTAATTTATTTGGGGTTTTACCGAAGGTTAATTTGGAATTCGCGCGTGAAATCTCGTAATGGACAATAGACCGGTCAAATCATTTACAAAGAATTTTAAAGAAAACACGGAAAAAATAATTTCGAAGTTGTCAGAGGATCATGGCGAAAAGCATTCACACGGAAAGATTTCTACACCAATTAAGATTAAAGAGGAACAA